GGATTTAAAAGTCGGCAGATTAAAAGTCTATGGATTTAAAAGTCCACAGACTTTTTTAGAAGTCCATGGATTAAAAAAAGTCCACCACAATCCATATTCAATACACCCCCTAATTAAGGCGATGATTCATTTTCTGTCTCCCTCTCCATTTGTTTGTTTTTTGAGCTTTCAATTTCGAATTTTCCATGTTTTCCCGTTCAAGACCACACGAGCTTTCATAGTACACCTAAGGGTGTGCACCGGACCAAAACCTGACCGGATTAGATCAGAGTCGGTTAGGATCAGAACTAGAATCATAATTTTATGTGGACCGAAGACCGGACCTGAATTTAATCGGTCCAAATCGGTCCGGATCTGAATTTTCCGGTCCAGTCCGGTTTTGATCCTAATTGACCCGGTTTTAAAAAAAGACGTCATCTTAGAGTGTTCTTAGCTAACTCCAATTTTTTTTAGGAATAAGGCTTGAATGTTGTTGTTTCAAACTATAATTTTATGTGCAGATATGCTAAATAGACTAAATAATTGTTTAGCTCATTTATTGATTTCGGAATATAGTCATCAAAACTATTCAATCGTAACAATTAGTTTCCCACAATAATTAACACTACAATCTGTTGTGTATATTAAAATGACAAAATCTATTGTAGAGTAATAAAAACTAAATTACGTCCAAAAATATACGATGTATAAACTACATGCACACCTGGTCGCCTGCAAATAAAGAAACAAATAAAAAGCAATTTGGAAAAATAAAACAAATATAAACGTAACTACGATCATAGTAGTGCACATGCACATAAAGAAACAAATAAAAAACAACTTAGGAAATAATTAGACATCAAATATACACTCTGTGTAAAATACATCAAATAAAAAGACAAAAGTAAGCCATAAACATAATGACTAATGATACAGAACGAGGTATATATTTTACGGAACAATAGGTGACCGGTCCATTCCGATCTGAACCTGTTTTTATGGGTTTGACCCGGACCGAACCGGAACCCGGAATCTTGAAAAACTAAAGACCGAAACTTGAACCGGAATGGTTCAGGTCTAAAATACGGTATGACCCGGTTAATGCACAACCCTAACTACACTGTAATTAAACAGATCAGGACAGACCACACCAGACTTAAACAAAACCAAATCAAACAAACCAAATTAGACCAGATCAAACTTAGACAATTAAAAAATACACAGAGACCAGCCCAGACCAAATTTAAACAGACCAAATTTAAACGGACCAGATCATATCAGACCAGGCCAGACAAAAAAATCCCAAATAACAAATATTTATGACATTAAAGTCGAATTAAATTTATTTACCAAAATACCGTTGGATCTAATCATGGTAGACCAAAGGCGGCTAATGGAGTGGTGGATTTGAAGTCGCCAATGAGTTTGGCAACTCTTTCATATGAAGTACTTGGTAATATGGGAGGGTCTTATGAAGATTTTAGGAGTAGGGCCGATGGGAATGGTGCGAGGTATCTCAGTTTGCTCTCATTAGTGGGTAGAAGGAAAAGGGAGGTTTTAGCTTTATTAAAGAGCGTCTTGTTCAATGGTTGAATAGATGGAGTCACATATTTTTGTCTAAAGCGGGTAGAGAAGTGCTCTTGACAACTGCGGTGCAATCCATGCCAAATTATGCCATGAATGTTTTTTTATTTCCAAGAGAAATGTGTATAGAGCCGGAATGGATTACGAGTGGTTTGTGGTGGACAAGTTCATTTGGAAAGGGGATCCGTTGGAAAGATTGGAACGGGGTGTGTATTTCGAAGAAGAAGAAGGAAGGCTTGGGGTTTAGAAGAATCAGAGAGTTCAATCTGACTATGTTAGGGAAACAATCTTGGAGAATTTCTCCCTGGTAGCCACAGTGCTGAAATAAGATATTTTCTTCATTCTTCCTTTTTAGAGGCAAAGATTGGGTGCAATCCCTCATTCATTTGGTGGGATATTGTCGGGATGGTGGGGGTGAGTGGGATACTGATGTTATAAATGATATTTTTGATATTAGGGATCAGAAGCTAATCATTGGAATGTCGGTAAGTCAAAGGCAAGTACCAGACAATATAGGTCTGTTATTCATTGAAAAGCAGTTACAGATTTTTGACGAGAGGCATAGGGGATATACCACGTTACGGCTGCCTACTAACGGTAGAGGCGTTAAGAATAAAATGTGAGTTGCTCACAGGTTTGTTCGTCATGCTCAATAGGAATGGAAAATGTGATTCATATGTATGGCCTTTGTCCAGTTGTGCAGCAGGCTTGGGATTTAATGAATTGGAAGTTTCATATAGTTGCTGATACTAGCTTTGCAGAATGGATAGAGAATACTTTGAGCAAATTTAAGGAAGAATGCTGCAATAAGTTCATAATGTTGATATGGGAATTGTGGAAAGCAAGGAATGAAAGGTTCTGGCGGCAGGTTTCAACATAACCTAAGAGTATAGTGGCAGTGGCTCTATGTTTTTATGAAGCTTGCAGAAAGCTTAGGGGATTAATAGCTAGTCTAGGTGCATATTCAAGACGCCTGAGAGATTGATGAGTCTGAAAGAAGGAAGGTTAAAAATTAACACATATTCTGTTGTTAGAAAAGGGTCAGACAATATAGGACTGGGATGGGTGGCGAGGTCGAGTGGGGGGAGCTTTATAGCAGACGGTGCAATCAATAGACCAGGAGATTTTACGCCAAGGAATGCGGAGGCGTCGTCATTTTAGGAAGCATTAAGCTGGTTGAAGGAAGTGAGCTGGGATCATATAGATTTGAAGTGTGATGCGATGTTGTTGATAACTTGCAGACATTGTGTTCCTAAGTGCGGTAATTATAACACCAGGAAGAAATCTATTTACTCAAAAGTATTGCTCATACTAACAAAGTGCATGATGAATGGTTGGATACAAACTATATTATTTTAGAGAGATGTTGAGATAGAGAAGAAGATGAATAGTAGAAATGTATTAGTGTTGGGAAGGAATGATCTTAGAGTGTACAAGATACACATAAGGAAACGTGGGTCGGACTGCTAATATGGGCCCAATAGGTCCAACTACATAAAATCTAATTTAATGGCTATAAATAAACAAACTTATGTGTACAATAATATAAAAGATATTTACGGGGCTTGTGGGGTCACTGTACAAGCCCAATAGTCTTGAGACCATGGATCCAAGTCTATATACTTTTATCAGTGCGCCTTCTTTCAAGGATATTTGTTAACTCCAAAATTTGGCTCAACTGAAGTAGACTCATTTAGGACCCTTAACAGTCATATTATTAATTGCTCCAAAATATTATTAATCACCGAATTCAAATCAAGCATCATATGCCTATTATGATTGTTATATTCACCAATCGAACCCAACTTTCGTCCTTCCGCGTTTTTGCTAACGGGTCCACACTTTTCGGTCAACCTGATTTTTGAGCGTTCAATCCAGAGAGAATTATAGCAATCACAATGATTATCTATATTTGGCAAATTTATTTTAGGAATTGAATTTAAGCAATGGGCCCCGCTTCAAAGACGATTAACTGTCATTTCTCTCAGAAGATGATTTTATAGGGCAGTGTGAAATGGTTAGAGAATGATTGGGCAATATCATCTAAATCTCGAGAATATGTTAATGCTCCATAAAAAAGTTGAAGAATGGTTAAAGTCTAGAAATAAAGATATACTCCTATATTACTAAAATAAAGATGATGGACAAAAATGTTATCTCTGATATGTAGTGATTATATTGGTACCTTTTAATTACTATAATTACATATTCAAATTCAAACTATAGGGACCATGGCGTACACTCATTGTAACCTTAGTCACATTTTTGTATATGTGTTTAATTTCATTTAAAAAAATGTAAACACCTTTTGATGAATCAATATGTACATATTTAAAAACTTAGAATTCATTTAGTAACACTAGAATTGATCGAATATGCTAAAATTGGTGTAATTCTTTCTTAACTGTTCGAATTGGCTGAATCTACAACTGAAATATGAAAAAATTACATTTCTTTGAATGAAACTGGCCTCTTTTCATATCATAAGTAGTTTCAGGATCATTACATCAATCAAAGAAGAAACAAACCTGGCACCTGCTAAACACCAATAACTATGACTGTAAACCCTATGGCCAGACTTGGAGACGGTCACCCCTGAAAGAGTCACACGAATCACCGATCATGTATCGGGCTTGACACAACCATCCGTATTCCCAGTTCCCACAGACCCAAACATACCCAATGACACAAAAAAGGCAAAAAGCAAACAAACTGGCAAACCTAGCATAGACAGTAACAAGAACACAAAAGACAAAACAATAAAAATTCATCGGAGGAAGACAAAACATGAGAAAAACTAGATAAGCAAAATAACTATCTTATACCCTAGCACCTTGATCAATCTCTGTCGGTGGTTTAGGAGGAGGTCGAACCTTCGCTCGATTGATGCCCTCTCTCGCTGTTCCCCCGACTTCAGATTCTAAATCACCAACATCTTCGATCAGTAGCGTATTTGCCGTAGAGCCCACATCCATGTCATCGAATTGAGCAGGTCAAAATCTTCACGCCAACCATGTCCACCAATTCGCCCTTATGGACTCGATCATCCCTGCGCCTTTCTCCCTCCATCTTCGTCTAAAAAAAATTATGCGCCACACCAGGACGGCGATAGCTAAGCCCTACGCGATAAGAATCGCTAGGGAAAAGAATGGTTAGGTCGTGATATGAAAAAATTACATTTAAAATATAGTCTTAATAAATAAAAATTATCGATAAAATAGCCAAAAACTAGTCTCCCATAGTAGGGAATAGTGGTGGTCAACGCAGTCAAAACGTAAATGGAGTTTGAAAAGTGGCTACAAGCGTGAACCCCTCTCCAAACACGCGTAAAGTTCTCGCATGAAGTGGCCAAACAGTTACGTTTTGACTATTGGGCCCCGCAGCCCTACTCCTCGCACACTATACAGAGGAAGACGAGTCCCTTTCGCCCGTCAACACTTCAAACCCCCCATACCAATTGTATCATATCATCATTGCATTTGTACTTGGGAAAACGCTACCTCTTCCCTCCCCAACACACCCCACCCCCACCCACCCACCCCAGAGCGTCTGCTACTACTTTTCACTCTCTTCCTCCTGCTCCAGTAGCCATGGATACTCCCGAAGCTCTCAACAAAGTTCTCTCCCGGATTCAAACCTTCGAGCCACAAAATGCCCACAAAATAATCGGTTTCATTCTGCTTCAGGAGCATGGCGACAAGAATGTCATCAGGCTAGCTCATGTCCCCGACGCCCGCCTTCTTTCCATCATCGATGAAGCCAAAGCTTTCCTGGGACTTTCGTCGAACGCTTCGTCTTCTCCTTCTTCCCCGAGTTTGGGCCCGTTTTACCGGCCTCCCCTGAGGGTCACGATTCCCCAGAACGAGATTCGGTCATCTCCCTGGTCCAACGGCTCCCCGGTTTTCTCAAGAAGCCCCGGGTCTGGACTTCCGGGTTCCTCGGCTCCTTTTTCTCGCAGCGGCGGCGACCCCATTGGTCGGTTGCCGGTTGCTAACGAGTCCTGCGATTCTCCCGGGTTTCTACCGACTGAGGGAAACCGGTTAACTCTTCAGCATCACAATCGGAGGTGCTCTTCTGATGATGTTTTCGCCATTGATTGTAACGACGGAGTTTGGGGGCCTCCGGTTTTCGACAATCGCAAGTTTCTGCATGGTTCTTCTGCTGATTTGGCTGTAAAAGATGACACTTCTCTTGAAGAGTTTCTTCGCATCAATGCCCTTCAGCAGCGGAGGCTCTCTGCTGCTTCTATGCTCATGGCTTCTGATGGTCGATACCCCCTCAGTTACAGTGATCGCCTGGGTAATTTGAACGACAGCCCAAGGTATCCTGTTCAATTAGGCTGATTTTTGTTTCTTAAGCAGTTTGGTGTTATGATGGGTTACATTAGTATAGTTATTCTTCTTATGTTCTGGGTATTTTTTACCCTCAATTTTCTTTTCTTTTTCTGCTGGAATGTGTGTTATCAGCACATATAGCAATTAATTAAATATATTGCCCATTACTCATTTGATCATTTCATTTTTTATCAGTAAATATTAAAAAGTTTGACTTTGTGGCCATCCTTTTTTATAAAACTTTGTGGCCATTCTATCTCTACTAGACTACAATTGAATTTGCAATGTGTGTGTATTATGAGTCAACATGAGAATTCACCCTTTACAATTTCGAATTAAATTCTGAATATTTTTACCCTCATTTTTTTATTATGAGTATTTATATGCTGACATGTATGTTCTTTATTATTTAGCATATATAGCAATTAATTAATATTTTTTTCATTAATCTGATCATCTCATTGCAATCATTAAACTTTAAAAAGTTTGACTTTTTTTCCATTTCTATTCCTACAAGCCTGCAATCTAAGTTGTATCATACGTGTCTATTATTAGGCAACAACCTTGTGAATTAACCATCAAATTTGAAATAGAAAGCCTTGCATTGGCCTCATATCTGTTTTTTTCTTTCTGAATTTCAGGTCGGGACCGGTGATCAGTGATCTCGTGGGAGGCAATTCAGATGGGTACTCAAATCCAAGTTCTTGTCAGATTTACTTGACATTTCCAGCTGATAGCACATTCACTGAAGATGATGTTTCTAGCTACTTTAGGTAATCGATTGATTCTTGTGTTTATAAAATTCTACTATGCTAGCATTACATATTTCTTTGTTTGATGATTGCTTTTAATTTTTAAATGTTTCACTTTTGAAGTATGTATGGGCCAGTGCAAGATGTTAGAATTCCATTTCAGCAGAAGCGGATGTTTGGTTTTGTTACGTTTGTCTATGCGGACACTGTGAAGCTAATCTTAGCCAAAGGAAACCCTCATTTTGTGTGCGACTCCCGTGTTCTTGTTAAACCGTACAAGGAAATGGGAAAAACCTCTGACAAGAATAGGTACTTGTTAAAAAATTACCCACCGCCTCTAAATTGTAATGTAAGTGTGATTTGTCTCTCACTAGGATTAAAATGCTTCATTTTATAATTGTAAAATATTAGAAAGCAAAAACTGCTCCATCTGGATATGGGAAAGTCATCAACAAGTTTAAGCTCACCCGGTGTTGATTCTAGGGAGCCCCTTGACATTCCATTTGGTAAGCTCTTGCTACTTTCTTGAGGCTTTATAATGCATTCCCTAAGTGTGTTCTCTATCTTTCTTTTATAGGGCCAAGAATGTTTCACAAGTCAAAGGAGGCTACACTTAGGAGAATGTTAGAGCATGAAGCTCATTTGCAGAAAACCATCCAGCTGCAGAGCAGACGATTAATGGATTTGCAGCTTATTGATGAGATGAAGAATAGAGGGAGTATTAATGAGTTCCAGCCTGGCAGCTCATCTCCCATCCTCCCACTCTCTCAGTCACCAAATCATCATAGTTTCAGTCTTAATGAGACAGCAGGTTGGTTCTAAACACTTTGATCAGCAGATTAATTTCTCATTTGATTTGTATTTATAGTTTTCTTGCATTAAGATTTCAACATGCTTTATTTCAATGAGGCAGAAATTAACGAGAAAGAGAACGATAGTGGACATGAAAATAGTGGCAATAAGCAACATGATAGCCTTGATAGTTCTGAGCTTCATAACAGGTGATATTCATATCTCCATCAAAAACACTAATCATCTTTATTTCTTTTATTTCATGTATTAGAGGTTTTGACTTGATTCCTACTTGCATTATTTTACTTTGCACCCCATGTGATATTCAAACTAGGCTGTTCTGTTAGAATTTGAGATGTGCATCATTGGAAGATAATAAACTATGGGGTGGAAACTGGAAAGCCAAAATTTCCCTGTTTATTGATAATTTGATACACAATCCTTCTAATGTTTGCAATTGTTACTATAGTCTTGGAGAACATCCGCATTTGCGATTAGAGCTCAATTCAAACCTTTGGGAAACTGTCCGGCCGTGAATGGGTGGCACCTTTTTTTCAACACGTTGTATGAAGATGTGTGGGTAATTTGACTAACCTCATTTTTTCTTCTTAAACTTTCAGGCTACAAAAGTTCTTGAACTAGTTAGACCCAGCAAGGGTATCTGATTAAGAAGCCATAGATTGTAGTAGTAGGTGTGCTATAATTGACCTCGGGTTAGCAAGGGTATCAAATTTTGGTAAGATTGTGTTCTTACCATTTCCAAACCTGCCTCTCTATTTACCTTTTCTTCTAAAACACATTTTCCAAAAAAGGAAATGATGTGGGGTTCTTTCTAACTTTTGGTACTTTGTGTTTTCTTATACAGAAAGTTTGAATAGTAGGCCAAAAGACCAGAAGTAAAGATCTGTAAGGAAGATCTCTTCAGGATCAAACAGGACATTTTACTTACAGCAATAACTGATGCATATATATATAGGACAAGTGACTTTTTTAGATAGATTAGCTCTGTGAAATTGCTCTTTTATACCTATATCAACCATTTCACAAAAACTTTACTGTATTTGATCGAATGGGTTGTACAACTACTGTGACTTTTTGTAAGAGTAATACTCCGTTGTAGATTTTACGGAGTATATCAACTATAATTAGGGTTAAAAGACATCACCTTTTTGTTCATGTGGCAAAATATAGGCTTCGGGTTTAATTTTAGAATGGTATGTCTCATACTCGTGTGATAGAATGGGTACTTGTGTTTTTTCTTAGTCTCCTATTACATCCACCATGTTTAGGACAAGTGAGTTTGATAAATAAAGGAAATATATAATTTTGAAGTTGATATTTAACAAGTATAAGTAGGCATGGATCAGGTCTCGTAACCACCCGGTTTTGAATTGGAAAATAAGGTTCCGATCTGGGATCATAATGGACCGGTGGGAAAGAGGTCCCGATTGTGGGTCTCCATTTTTTGAAATTGAGACTGGTTGGGACTTGGGTTCAGGATTGGACCGGTTTCAAATCTTTCAATTACTCCCTTCGTCTCATAAAATTTTGTCATTTTTCCTTTTTGGGACGTCCCAAAAAATTTTGTCACTTTCTCTTTTAATCAGATATTTTGTGGTTTCTGGTTTCTGTTATTTCTCTCTCCTCTGCACAAATCTCAACGGTTCAACCACACACTTTTTACTTTATTATTCTTTGTGTCTGTCAACTTTTACAAAGTTTTAAGAGACGGAGGTATTATTATTATTATTATTATTATTATTATTATTATTATTATTATTATTTTGCTAATAAATATTGGTGAACATTTCATAAGAGTTGAAAGTCTAGTTAATTAAAAGCTTAAAAGAGGTGTAGATGGAAATTGAGTTCTCACACCTCGTCCTCTGTATATTTTTTCAAAGACCGGCTGGTCCAGGTTGGGGTCCAAACCGTCCAATGGTCCATGCTTAAGTATACGTAATTTGATTTTGAGTACTTTTAAGAGAAAACATGTACTCCGGAACACTTAGCGTGTGTTTGGTAGGCAAGTCATTATCTCGTAGTTTTTTGTACTAATTAATAAATCTCTTACTCCGTAAAAAACAAGATGTATGTGATGTACAACAAATTTAGAGAGTTTTTCAGAAAATTTAAGATTTTTTAATTTACATTGAGTAATTTTTCTAAGAGAAAGTCACTTCAAGAACATTTTAAGTTACCTAATAATGATTAACTCTTTAATTTTTTTAGCCTAGTACGGAATTCTCTCTAGGGTTATCGGCCGATAACCCTACGACTAGGACTGTCCGCCTTCATTTTTCGGAGTGCGAGTGTTATTGGTTAGGAAGGCGGTGAGGGGGCGGCGTAGACGGTTGGTTAGGAGAACGGTGGTCTCGGATTGGTAGCAGGGGCGGTGAGGTTGGTTATTTAACAAGGTCATTCGGACGAAAGCAGGCGGTGTGGCTGGTTCATCGGACTCAGAGTTACAGCGAAGCCTTCTATATCTTCATGGAGAACGTTGTTGATCGATATAAGCGGATGGCGATTGGAGGCGAAGAGGGAGAGATAAATCTTGACGATGGAGAGGCTGATCGAAGACGTTCCAGCGGAGAAAGCGGCAGTGGGCTTCTCGGTGCTCGGGCAAGTGCTGACTGACCGCAAGGTCAAGTTTGCGGAGCTTAAAGAAAAGATGTTTACTCTCTAGAGGCCGGGGAAAGATATGCCGGTTAAGGAAATTGGGGAAAAGAGGTACCTGTTTTCTTTTAATCATCGTTTTGATATGAAACGTGTTCTGGATGGGGGTCCTTGGCAGTATGAACGTAGATTGGTTTTGCTTAAAGAGATTATGTTTGATGATATACCACACAAAATCATTTTGAATGAGGCTGATTTTTGGGTCCAGATTCATAATGTGCCTTACAGTCTGGTAAATATTGGCACTGCTAGACGTGTTGGGAGTTTTTTAGGAGAGTTTGTCAAATATGGTGATTATTAGAAAAAAGAAAAAATTAGAGCCATACATGCGAGTTAGGGTTCTTATGAAGATGGATAAATCTCTAAAGAATGGGACAAATTTGAAAAAAGATGGCAAAAGTTTTTGGGTGGATTTTAAATATGAAAGATTGCCCACCTTTTGCTTTATCTGTGGTATGGTTGGTCACTCAGATAATTTTTGTCCTCTGAATTATGAAGAAGGTTTGATTTTGGAAAAAAGATTTGGATCTCATCTTAGAGCAGGTAGCGGGGTAAGGACCAGCCCTACAGGAGGGCAAGCCGAGTTTCTGGAGCGCTTATCGAGCTCTGGCAAATCGGGAGACGTTCCAGAGAAGGAGGCAACGACAGAATCTGCTCAAAGCTTCACACAAGGAGGTGAGGTGCCAAAGGAAGAGGCCTCCAAAAGAAGGAAGATCTGGGAGGTCCAGACAGAGGAAGAACTAGAGGAGAACAACATGGCCACTGATGGGACAAAAAAAACATGGAGGAGGCGAGCTTGATTCCTTAAGCCCGCCGGATACATTGGTTGAAGGTGTGAGGCCGAAAGCTGGAAGACTGATTCTAGTTTTCTGGTGGCAAAAAGGATGTTATTTATTATGTTTTGTTTTCTATTTCGTTAATTTTTGCTGTTGCTTTTGGATTTGTTTCTAGTTTCCTGTTCTGGTTTGTAAGACATTAGTTTTGGATGTAGGGGATGAGAGGAATTTGGTAATCGAGTTAGGCTTTTTGTTTCCCGGTTATGGATCAACGAATCATATTGCTACGACGGTTAATTCTGAGTCTGGTTCGAGGGATGGCGGTTATCAATTTTCTTTTTGTCAGTTGACCCATACTCTGAACTTTTATTGGTTATTTATCTAAGCCGATTTCAGTCAAAAGTTACCTGATAATGATTAAATACGGAATAAATAAGGGAAAATTATTATTAGCCCCCCTGAGGTTATGCCATAATTATTAATGCAACCTTGCATTTTCAAAAATCAATTAGTTACCCCCTAAGTTTTGATTATTTTCACCGTTTTCCCCCTCATGTTAATATTTATTAAATTTAATTTAATATAATTCTTAAATTCAATATAAACTATCTATAAAATTAAATTTTAAAGTAAATCATAATTTATTATCAGTATTATAAGTCATTGTTGTTTACCGTTATTTTTATACTTAGCTACTCAATCGTGGAATAATGAAAGTAGTTAAGGGAAAAGACTCACGAGTAAGATATAAAATATTATGAATTTACATTTTTTATTTTAAAAAATGAAATATCATTTAAGCTTATTAAATTAATAATTTTTTTTTGAAGAAGAAATCATCAAAATTAGTAATAGAATTAATAAAAATTAAACAAATCAAAATCTATGATATATGGAGTATATTTTAGTTCTTAGATCGATAGATTTCATTTATTCAGGCCTTATATCGATACATTTTTGTCTTTTAGGTCTCTTATCAATACTAGATCAATTTTTTAGGTCATGGATTGTGATAAAATTCATTTTTCTTGGTTCTTTGCTACACACGAAAGAAGTGTTATTGAGATTAATTCGTCCAGATGAATTATATTACAAATAAGACTTTTGTATTAATGATGAAGAGGTGTATATAATTTTGATAACACATATTTCAAATAATATTTCTGTTAGATTTATCAAGATTTATTGGTAGCTAAATAGACTCCTCTGTATTTTCTAGAACTGATCTTTCATCTTATTTGACCTTTCATCTCCTCACTCTCATTAATGTACTTGTACACTCATTATTAAAAATAAAGGAGTTCAGGGTTATGGACAGACACACAACCAGGAAATTATTCTCTTCCTTTAACTCTCTTTTATTCAAGTTGGTATCAGAGCAGGTTCTGCCATCTCTATCCAGCCCTGGCCGCTGCTCATCGTTGCAAACCAAGACCTAACGTCGTAGTTTCCATATGGCTTCTGGACCAACCCAACTCTTCTCTGGAACTCCTTCTATCACTTCAGAGAAGCTTAATAGGAAAAATTATATGTCTTGGTCAGCTGCTATGGAACTTTGGTTTCTGGGACAAGGGTACCATGACCATCTTGAAAAAGATGAAAGTGAGATCAAGGAAGAACCTGAAAAATGGAAAAGGTTAGATTACCAGTTGTGTGCTCTATTATGGACGTCTTGTAGAACCCAATATTTTAGGGACCCTCAGAACTTTCAAAACTTGCAAGACTTTTTGGAAGAAAGTCCAATAGATCTTTGCAAATGATATTCAGCGCCTATATGATGCTGCCGATAAGTTAGCATCTCTTAAACAGACATATCGCGATATGATGTCATTCATTGCCGAACCGCAAGCTGCTGCCGAAGAACTCAAAATGTCCTTAGAAGTTGAATCTGTGGAGGAAATCAAGAAGAAACTGGATAAATTTTATATGGTAATGATCCTCCGAGCCATGAACTCTGATTTCGATCACGTTAGAGATCAAATCCTCACTGGATCTGAGGTACCAACCATGGACAGTTTAACAACACGTCTCCTTCGGATTCCCACTCTCAAGGGTGACAAGTCTCAAGAACCTGCAGAGTTTTCAGCCATGGTATTTCATGGAAGAGGGGGTCGTGCAAACAGAGGAGGACGTGCAGGAAGAGGACGTCCCCAATGTACCCATTGCAAAAGAATGGGTCACACCCATGAGAACTGCTACTTCCTTCATGGGTTTCCTAATAAAACCGCCAACTTCTCTAAATCTAAAGTTTCTGAAGTTTCTGATCCAAAACTATCTGGTGAGGAATATCAAGAGTATTTGAGACTAAAGTCCAGCAACTCAACATAATCTTCCAAAACTCCGCTTACATCAACTGCTTGCATTTCCCAATCAGTAGAGAGTCAAAATTCATGGATAATTGACTCAGGTGCTTCTGACCACATTTCTGGTAATACTTCTCTGTTCTCTTCTCTCTCACATCTTAAACACCCACATCTTATAAGCATGGCAAATGGATCCAAAACAGCTTCCCAAGGAATTGGCCAAGTATCCCTTTCTCCTATCTTGAACTTAAAATTTGTTCTTTTTGTTCCCATATGTCCGTTTAACCTCATTTCATTAAGCCAATTAGCAAAGTCATTGAACTGTACTGTAACCTTTGATGCTAATTCATTTGTTATACAGGAATGTGGAACGGGTCAGATGATTGGAGAAGGATATGAATATAGAGGTCTCTACTATTTTGGAAACAAATCACCAGTCTCTTGTCTAGCTACTCCTTCTCCCAAACTCTTGCATGAACGTTTCAGACATCCACATCTAGCAAAATTAAAGAAA